AAAAAAAAAAAAAAAAACAGAGCTTGGAGAAGAAAATCCATGGCGGTCGTTAAAACGGTCAAATACACCGAGCACTTGCACCGGACCACGACCGTGGCAAGTCCGACGGAGTATTCCGTCTCCGTAGGTGAAAACCCTTCTCTGCCAGAGGCGCCCGCGAGGACGGTACGAATCTCCGTCACGGACGCCGACGCCACCGAGTCCTCCGGCGAAGAGGAGGAAAGCATCGGCTCCGTCCGGCGACTGAGGGTGAGGAGGATCATCAGCGAGGTCAGGATACAGCCCTGCAGCGGCGGAGGAAGCCGCCGCCGCCGTCGTTCGCCGAGGAGAGCGGCGGCGGCGACCGGAGGCGTCCGGAAGTACATCGGAGTGCGGCGGAGGCCGTGGGGGAAGTGGGTTGCCGAGATTCGGGACCCCAAGCGGCGCGTGCGGCTGTGGCTGGGGACATACGCGACGGCGGAGGAGGCCGCCATGGTGTACGACAGCGCGGCCGTGCAGCTGCGTGGTCCCCACGCGCCGACGAACTTCTCCGCCCCTTCGCCGGAGGGGCACAGCAAACTTTTCGCGGGGTCGCCCAAGACGGTCCTCCGGTTCGTCTCGGCGTCTCAGGCCAAAGCGAAACCCGGACCCGAAGCCGAAGCGGATTCCAAACCCGGTACTGCCTTATCCTCCGGCCGTGACGAAGCCGTTTCGAAGAAGGAGAACGAGAATCTCGAGGAGGTTGCGGGTTTCCCGGTGGGCAACGATTCGTTTGGGGACTTGGAAAAACCGGTGCTCACATCCGTACCCGTACCCGACTTGTTTGATAAAACGGGTCCGGCGGACTCTGTTTTGGGGACCACGACTAGTCATTGTGATTGTTGGGACTGTGGGCCTAACGGGCCAAGAATCGACCCAGAATTATGGGCCGGGTCGTCGCAAGTTGACGACCACTTTCAGGACTTGGGTGATGTTTTTGGATCGGATCCACTGGTTACCCTTTGAGGACTTTGAAGAGATTAAATGCAGTTTAGAATCAGTAGGAAAATTTGCCCATTTTCGGATGTTGTTCCCTTTTTTTTTTTAATTATTATATATTGAGAATGATAGTTTTATAAATGAGATGTTTTTTGTAGCAAAAAAATTGTTATGGTTCTTCTAATTGAAATTTGAAAATACATATCTGCTGAGAAAAACAATAAACATCTAACCTCACTTTTTATAGTTTAAAAGCATTCAAATTATTGAATAAAAAAAAAAAAAAATTGGCACACTCAACTTTCTTGTACAAATTAGAGTCCAGCTTTTTTTTTAAAACCAAACACACGTTTTATTATAAACGAACCAAGGTTTAAGGGGGCTTATTCCCCTACAGAGCCGGATATAAGAAATGGGGAAGGGTCAAACCTCCTACAAGTCCATAGTGTCCGATTTTTTCAAATTCCTCGTACGACGCCTGATCCGTTGCTTTTTTCCAGATGAGTTGGTGTAAAAATTAGAGTCCAGTTATCACTTCCTTACTGGGCAAAATATGATTCATATTTCTCCAACTGCTTTTATTGAAGATTAATTTATGTTTATTGAAGACAACTCGAGCACGATCTTTAAGAGTAATGCTCCCCTACCCACGGTAGACACATGTTAATATGTCCACCGCTTATGTGGCATGCACACATTGGTGATGTATTTTTTTGAACATATTAACATCACCAATGTGTGCATACACATAAGCGGTGGACATATTAACATGTGCCCACTGTAGGTAGGGGAGCATTTTCCTGATCTTTAATACTTGAAAAATAGATTCGTAAACTCTTCTTGTGCATTGATAGAATTAAGATACTTTGCAAGAAAATAATTAAATCACAACCTCTGTAAAAGCTAATAAAAGCTTGGGCATAAAAAATAGGTAATGCCAACACTCATTCATATACAATGAACTTCTCCCTGAACAAACAACCTCAACCAAAATAGCATCAAAGCATTCAAGTCAAAGCATATAATATATGCTCAAAAAAACTCGAATAAACTGCACAAGTTACCTGTCATCTTAATCGAGCTTTTTTTTTTTTTTTTTTTTTTT